TGCTTTATATAGGTCAAATCTCATTCCAATGAGTACCATAACAATAACCACCTCATGACCTGGTTATTTTAGACAACCTGCTAAAATGACAATCAAGTAGGAGTCCAAGCCAGAGCTGGCTGTTACAGAATTTGACCTGAATATTATTTAATCAAGGAGGTGGCCAGTGGTGTCAGATTTTTATCTTCATGGCCCTGAGCCATGGCAGAGCAGTCAGATTCAAGGTACAGAAAAATTATCAATGAGTCCAAACCACTGTACTTAAAACCCTGAATCACCAACTTCATTTGTCTGACAGAGGCTGCAGTTACAATGTCTGGGGACTCAGTGCTATGACTCTCCATGTAAGAATGGTATCCATTCATGTCTATCCACACCAGCCAAAGAGTGCAGAGAGATGTGTCCACCCTAATCCAGGTCTGTTAATAACCCCCCTTGTCATATTGGGTGCTCTCAAACCTGAGGTTTCTTTCTCTAGTCTTTCCCAAGGAGCTAGATTCATGCTTCATTTACTTTTTTTTTTTTGCATACATTATTCTTCCTTGAAATAAGATGCTAGTTGTTGTTCTCTGAAAATTTCCTTTATAAGAATGTAAACCCTCCGAGGGAAGATATTTGTTTGGTTACTTCCCATCTATGTTCAATATCTGGGTCCTCTCAATAGAATATAAGTTCCAGAAATCTCACATCCAGGATAGTGCCTGGCACACAGTAGGTGTTCAGGAATTATTTGTTGAATTAAAAAATAAAGAGTTATAAGTAGCTATTCTCTTTTTACTGTACCATAAAGGTTTTTATTGGGGCATTATAGTTAGACATAATGGATGGATTCATTATGTCATATTTGTATGTGAACATAATATAATTTAATCCATTTTCTTCCTCAGTACCTTCCCTTTTCCTCCCTCCTCCCTACCTCTGATCTTCTTGCTGCATTTGACTGATCTCCCTTCTGGGCTATTATTTGCGACCCAATTCCAATGTCCTACCACCTCTCCAAAAGCAGTGATGGGTTCCCCTCTGATCCTTCAGCACTTTGCATTTCTCTATTATAATACTTACGGGATACTCTCCCTATCATTCATGTTATATCTGTTTTACCAACTATACTGGGGGATATTTTAGAGAAGAAACTGTGTTTTATATAGCCCCATATTCTTTTTGCCTACAAGAGTAGGAATTCAATAAATGCTTATTGTTTGAACAATTGAAAAAATGAATAGAAATGTTTCTCTTGTAACTGTGAATGCTAAAGATTTATGACTTAACATCATACTTCAAATTCTGCCGGGACTCCAGAGCCTTCCATGGATCAAACTGAAAAAGCCATGAGTCACTGGGCTTGGAGGGGAGGGCTGTGTGTTTATGGAGGATTTGTTTCCCGACCTCGATGAATCATGTGTATAATCACCCGAACTGCATCCTGTCTGGGGAAGTAACCAAAACCCCTATTTCTGGCCCCAATGGCTTTTTGGTTTTATGAGTAAATGCCACTGGCATGCCATTAAATTAATGCCCACAGAAGGCCCTCAGCCAGGGCTCTAACCTGCAATACCAGGGGTCGGGATAGGCCAGTGGTTTTGCCATGAGAGCAGAATGAGAAGATATTACTTTCTCACCTGGCCCCGAATTGGTAACCTTTTCCAACTTCTTATCAAACAACTGTGATACTTTTTTCCAAATCAAAGGTTCCATCATGGAATTCTCCTGCACACAAATATTTAATTAGTTTCACCACCAGCAGAATAAAGACCGAACTTCTTATCCTCTAATCCAAGGCTCTCTAGAATCTGATTCTGACCTGCTTTACCTACCTGATCTTCCCTTATCCCCTTATAACCATGTGTTCCATGTGCAATGGATGATTTTCAAAATGCATATAAACCTGAGCCTTTGTTCTATGACTTGGCTCCACTTCCAGTGCCACTTCCTCTATATCATCTGTGATTGTTCAGCAAGGAAGTTAACTTCTCTTTTGAGCATGCAGGTTTTATCTAACTCCCATCCCATTGCTCATTTCTAATGTGTCTTATAAGCACCTATGCACATGTTTGGTTCTCTAATAAGTCATTCCCCAGAGAAATCTGGATCTTCGTCAATGTGATACTCCTTATGCACAAGCAGTGCATGTAAGAATGGAGACTCAAAAGTTGTTTGAATGGAAAGTCAGATTCATTCAATTGTTGGAACCCAGGAAATGCTCAATGTAGAAGATTATTATGTTTATTTCTCTCATTTTATCTGTTACCCCTCTCTATTAAAATATAAGATTAAGAAGATCTTGGGTCTCTGCAAACAGCTATTGTTGTATACCTATGGAAGGTTATATTTCAAGTTTTCTTCCTCTGGATACCCAGTTCCTTGTGGTCTATTTAGCTAATAGATATTACAAGCTTAGGGAGAGAGGAAAAATTTTAATATTCACTTGAATAAAAAAGAAAACTAAAAGGGAATCTGCTGTGTCAAAAAGCAAACTTTTAAAAATATAGTTTTTTCCAAAAGCAAAGACTGTTCTGTCATTTTCTGGTTTGGAATATCCATGCCACAGAGCTGATTTCAAGGCAGATGGATAAACGAGAGTTGATGCAAAAAACTTAGCTTTGTGTGACTGAAAAGCACTTTGCTTTTCTTTCTGTTTATAACTATAATGCTGCTTATGAGAATGGGGACAAAGAAGACAAGGTTAAGATCACCCAGGCCAAGGTCAGGTAAAGAGGAAACAGAGTATCAAGAGTTTTGATTCCTCTACTGCCTTTTGGCAATGTCTACATCTGGTCGGAAGAGACAGCTGGGTGGCAGTGCAACCATTTGAGAGCCCTCTCCTACTGTTCCTCAAAAGGCTGCCACTGAGGAGTCTCCAGAGGCCAAGTTCCAATGACTGAATGACTATTAATTGCAATTTCTCCCTCAGTTAAGTAAGCAGAATATCTGCTATTACATACATGGTCAGATCTTATAAATTCTAACATGGTACTGAGATATTAGTTGCTATTACAAATTCAAAGATGACTGTTTTTTTCATTATCCCACACTACAAACAATTAACTATTTTTATCAGGTTCTGATAATATTTCAGGTTCTATAGGTCAGTTTGGGCTGTGTTGTGACTACTGGACTCTGCCTTTATAATAAAAATGCAGTCATCATCTATTTAAAAATACATGGGGCTTTATTCCAATAAAACTTTATTTATAAAACAGGTGGTAACCAGATTTGGCCCTTGGGCTGTATTTCAAATTCCTGTCCTACATGTTTATTAAGTATGAAACATGAGAGGCAGAGGAAAATATCTAAACACTTTTTTCTGATATAAACAATGACACTCCTGGGTTTTGTGAGACTTCCAGATATCTTCTTTAAGACAGTTTTAATTCTGTACATTATCATCATGTCTTCGTCATCATCAACATCAGCAATGTTGTCTGTACCTATCTGGGAAACATTATGGAGAGAGCCATAAAAGAGCCCCAGTTTTCTATACCTACCTCTTGACCACACTCTTCTGGGAAAGACAGCTCTGATTATTGTTAAAGAAAATATCAGTCATCCTCATGGTGAAAGGTCGCTATATTTTTTTTTAACAAATTGGTCCTTTGAGCAAGATGAATTTTAATGGATTGGTTTATTAACCTAAAGGTTGAACTAGACGGAGAGTAACTGAATGATTTGTTCATAATTAGTATTATTTATAATTATTTTACTTAGGAAAAAATATCACCTTAAATGTCAGGATGTTTTTTAATTGCCTCAGATGAGATTCAAAATAATTGACTTTGCAAATGTATTTTAAAAAACTCATTTAAAAATATCTGAAGCTGCTGACAGTCTGTCTAGAAGAAGCAAGATATTGATATTCATTACTAGGAACAGGGCAGAAATTGATCCATGATTTTTTTTAACCGCTTGAATTGTGTATTGTGGTCACTTCTGGACTCTGAAAAGCTGAGATGCTGATAGAGCAATGTATGTGTTTCTTTACCCCATTAAATCTATTCTCTGAGTATGCGATATTCCCACAAATACTAGAATAAGATATAATATATGCATTTATATGTATATGAATATGTGTGTGTGTGTGTGTGTGTGTGTGTATATATATATATATATATATATATATATATATATATATATTCCTCCAAAGCTCAGTAGGCAAATCCCCTGCTGAGAGTAGTAAGGGTATATTAACTGATTAATTATTATTAATGCCAATTTTTATTTAGCTAGCAATTATAATCTATTAAGAGCATTTATTCACATTATCTTCCTTATTCAATTCTCAGAAAAATCCTGTAAGGCTCATCAGTAATATATTATTATCTCCCTTTTATAGACAAAGGAAACGGAAACTCCAATGTTTCCCTGCTTAAGCTAATCTCACCAATAAGTGGCAAATCCTGGACTAGAATACAGAATTTCTGACTCCTAGTCCATTACCTCGAGCAACTGTGGAAGGTCTGAAGGCAGAAAGGGAAAGTGTGAAACAGTTTGGGCTGGAGAGAACCTGGAAAGGCCAGCAGACCAGAATTCCTTCTAGTTTAGGTCAAAGTCCGGAGTAGGTGTGGCTACGTGACACACCACCAGAATGATCCACTTTGAGGCAGACCTACTCACTTTGAATTTTCTTGTGCAACTAAACATTCACTGTCAATCTCCCATCCTCTTATTTCTCGTGAAATAAGGGGCACCAGAGTTGGAACCAACTTCAAACCAACTTAAGTCTCTGATTCAGTTTCCAAACCCTCCTCTCCTGCTCTGGGGTCAGCCCTTTTCATCAACCCTGCAACCATTTTTTTTTTTTCTTTTACCCTCCTTTGGGCAAAACCATTTTTTTTTCCTTTGCCCTCCTCTCTCCCTTAATCTCCCAATGCCTCTCTGCACAGCTTTTCCCTTTTAATCTTTGCTGACCACCCTCTGTGTCTGCTCCATGTTCTTCCACCGTCAGAGACGCTGTGCCTCTCTTCCCCAAGAGCCTCCCTGGTCATCAGCACCCAGGTTCCTACCTGTGCTCCGCAGCCACAAGCGTTGCCCCTCCGACCCGACGTCTTGGTTCTGTCGGTCTGACGCTGCCAGCCTCTATCCAGGGCCTGAGAACTGTGCTTGTCTTCAAGCTCTTTGTTACTTGGCCTCTTTAGTTTCAAATGCTAGTAAATAACAACACACAATAAAAGATGGTGTTGGCTATGGTTCTTGCTCGTAGTCTCCAGGAGTGTTATCTCAGACCCCAACATTGCAACAAAGAAATCTCACAGTGGGGTGAGTGAAAACCAGTTACAGGACAGGAGGAGAAAACTTCAGCGCTTCCAAAATTCCACAGTCCCAGCTGCCCTCCAGGGGCTCCCCCTTGTGGGAGATACTGGGCATGGCAAGGCAGTACCCAGTTGGGACAGTGCCTGGGTGGGAGGGCAGGAGAAAGACTCAGTTCTCCTGAGTATGTGCACATACTCAGGGAGGTGTGCCCCAAAGGGCACAGGGTTCTATTCCAGTCTCAAAGAACAGCCTCTGTGTGAATTGCAGCTGAGGTTCTCCACAATCAATCATGCAAATATTTGGGGGAGACAGAGTTCTTGGTGCCTAGAGGTCTCTGAGTGCAGGTGAGCACCCTTATGAGTGAGGAGCTTGCACCGCTTATGCTTCATGTGGGAAGTGGGGTTGGCAACCCTTTGCTTCTGCTGTATGCCCAATTTCTGACTGGAAAATGTATCATCCAGTGGACACCTATGCAGGGCTGCTCTGGGGAGACAGGTGTGGTCCTCATCATCTGACTAAACCATGGTGGTCCAGTCTCCTGGGCTCTCTGGGCCTTTGGTACCAAGGGAGCCCTGGCAACTTTCTGTTGCTCACCTTGATGAAACCAGACTGGATGTCCAAATAACATCTTTCCCCAGAGAGATACGATCTCATTCATTCTCACCTACCCTGGTCAGCAGGTAGGAAATCTAATATATTATTTTCTGCAAACAGAATCAGAGGCTCATGTAGCTGAGTGATATTTCCAACGCACTAGAAAAACCATCAGTGTAGCGAAGATCAGAACTGGGTTTTCTGACCTCTGTCCAGCCCATCCGTCCAGACTATGCTCTGTCTCTAGAGAAAAGGGGAAGTGATGCTCAGACGGCCCTCAGTGCAGGGCAATGAGCCACACCATTAAGGAGTATCGATCGGCTTCCCCTGCTGTGAGGACAGCCTGCTGGATGTGACACAGACAGAGACCCAGACTGAGCCAGCAGGAAAGAATTCGTCATTATGCCAGATATGGAAGAGAACCAGTAGGACCAGTGGGAAACTATTTATTTGCCAGTACACAGTTAGTGGAAGAGGAACAGGGAAACTGCAGAATGACAACAGTGATCTGGCACTGACTCCTGGTCACCACAGCCTTGTGACATATTGTCTCATTTCAACATTGTACTAATTCTGAGACCCCAACTGCAGGATTAGGTTAGCTCCATTTTAGGGATGAAGAAATTGAGGTCAGAGTGGTTAATGGGCAATAATATGTGGCAGAGATGATGATTAAATCAAAAGCTGTTTAAGCCTTGAGTTTATCTCACCATGTCACCTTGCCACATGGGTTCTTCTAACAGTGCTGGCAAGGAAGCTCTGTCAGGGGTCAACATAAAGTATTTCATATTAAGTTCAGCAAACCAAATCTCACCTGTGCCCTCCCACCACCTCCCTGATGTAATGAATCCTATGGAAAGACTGAACTTGGCATAAAATCATAGAAGAATGGGCTCTTTCTCCAAAGGCAGCATAGACAGCCCAGGAATAAAGACAAAAGAACAATAATGACCTAAGCAAAACAGCTGGTGTCTCTAAAATGATGATGAAGAAGAAGAAGAAGAAGGAAGAGAAGGAGGAGGAGGAGGAGAAGGAGGAGGAGGAGAAAGAGGAGGCGGAGGAGGAGGAAGAGAAGTCAATTAATGATACAGTCACTGATCATGAATTCAATAAATATTTCTCAGACCTATGCTGGGCCTTGGGCTGAATACAAAAGAGACACCCTGCCCTGATGCTTCAACTCTGCTATGAACTCACGTAAAACAAACAAAACGGGATTTAAAGAATCTAAACAAAGCTGCAAGAGCAAAAGTATGCCCTTTCCCACAAATGGACCTAAAACTGAGGACCTTTAGTGGCTGAGGTCCACTTGTGAAGGATGGCATTTAAATCCAGAAATACTTCTCAAGAAGAGGGCATCAGGTGTCTGCAGCATTCCAAGGACCCTGGGTCAGGACTTGGGATCAGGAAAATGGATAGGGAGGGAAGGAGAGTCTTGTCCTTCTTTGGGTTGGTGAGAGCATCCAGTTCTCCTCTGCACCCCACCAAGGCAAAAAGGAATAAACTGAGACCAGAGCAACCAACAAATACGAGAGATTGGCATGAGAAATCTGGAAAGCAGGGAATAGTTAGGCAGATGAAGGTAAAACTCTATAACTGCTGTCTTCCAGTACACTAAGGGCATTCAGGTAGAAAAGGGATGAGATTTGCTCTGCCCAGCTTTAGGGAACAGATGGGATCCAGGGGGAGAATCTCCAAAGAGAAAAATCTTTGATTAATTATAAGAAAAAATATTCTGCTAATGCAGTCCAAAACTGGAAAGGTCAATTCCTGTCTGGAAAAGGCTAGGAGGGAGTATCACCAGAAGACCTTTGGTCAAAGAGGCCCAAATGCAGACTGGAATGAAATGGGGTCCTTGGGCCAACAAGGAGAAACTAGATGGTAGAAACAGTAAACCCCCACCCAGAGCGTTTTCTCTTTTTGAGGGATTTGTGGTCTAATTCAACAATAAGCTAAATATAAAGTGTGCTTACTTTCTTCTCCTGTCTTTCCCTGGAATGGAATATTTATTTTACTGTTTCAGGTAATTCCAGGTATGTTGGGTGGGTGAAGCCATTGCCCTTTAGTATCATGGAAAACACAAAAGAAAAAAGGCCCAAATCTGACACTCTGGATGATCGAAAGAGACATTAAGGAACCATTTCATCAACACCATCTATGCCTGAATTCTTTCCCACTGAGTGGTTGCCTGTTTGTACTCAGTCTCCAAAATCCATTAGATTGTAAGCCATTCTAAAGCAGCTCAAATGAAGCAAACGCACATATAATGCATCAGCAAGACATGGAAACAACAGAAGAGAAAAATGATACCTTCAGAATAGTTACTGAGAATAAAGACAGAGCCTAAAATTAATCAGGAGTATTTTTTTTTTGTACCAGGAATTAAACACAGGGGCACTTAACCACTGAACCACACCCCCAGCCCTATTTTATATTTTATTAGAGACAGGGTCTCACTGAGTTGCTTAGGACCTTGCTAAGTTGCCTATATTGTAGAGGATTGATTAGAAGCAGTCAGTCCACAGGAAGCTTCTTTTTGGCCTGAGAATCTTAGAGAGGATCTCCAGTGTCCAGTGTCCAGAGAAAGCTAAGGAAAGGACCACTGGGAAGCTGTGGGGAGCCAGATGGCGCAGAACTGAAGGCATATAATGGGAGGAGGAAGCCTCCTGTACGCCCTGCTCACCATGTCTGGTGAGGCCAGTGCTGTGATGTGGCCTCCATCTCTGGACAGTGAGAAAATGGCCCAGTTGGAGCCTGTCTGATTGCCCAGCCTTCCCCCACACCTTGATTTTCTACTCAGGTTTGCACATGAGCCCAGCTCCTCTCATGCACCCAGATGCCTGTTTCAGGGAAGCGTTTGCATTTTCCTTGGCAAATGCTTCCCAGGTACAGCTTGCTACATGCTTTTAGGCTCGGCCAATTACAACAAGCACTAAAACTGCTGAGCCAAGTAGTTTCTTCAGAGCTCTGCTTACATTTCCTCCCTGAAAAAAGCAGAGGGCCCACCCACTTCATGCAGAATCTGCACACAGAAAAATGCAGGGTTTTCTCTTAAGACAGAGGTGGCACGGGATAACTTTCCCAAAGAGGAGATGAGATGCAACCAGTTTTCACTTTGAATTTACGCTTCTCAATAGGACTTCACCCTGTGTCAGAGGGTGGACAAGATGGCTCAGAAGTGGCTCCCTTGAGCTGAGAAAGGGCTAGAGAGGCTTTTAGTTCAAGCCCCACAGGACCTCAAGTTGGTTGAAGATTTCTATGTGTCAATGGCCTTTCTCATTCTTGAACTTCCACTAGGTCCAGGGTTCAATATTGCAATTATATTCTTGTAAATGCTGGATTTGGAGGGAAGATGGAGTCCATTTCTAAATGACTTTGGATTTTTTTTTTTTTAAACAATCATCTACAGTAACACTGATGTTTGGGCAGAAATAAAGCAATTCCAGAAGGGATTACTCCAAAGTTGTTGGGATATTTTTTTTCCTGATTAATGAATTGTTACCGTACAAAAGTACAATAAATTTACCTCTTCATTTATTTTCTATGATGCTAACATTAGATTGTGTAATGTTTCTGAGTTATCCCTAGCTTAGGAGAAGACATTGAGGAATATCTTAATGAGAGCATGCCAGGAAGTGGTACAGCCAGTTTAGAATTAAAAATTATCCATGGATAATTCACAAAGCATGTAATACATATGCAGATCATTGAGAAGTAACCATGCTGAGAGGTACCTGCAAGAGCCTTCCAAAACCAGAAATCATCATAGAAGTGCGTCTTTAATTCCTGGCTTTCATTCATGGTTAACTAAGCGGTGGTATTGCAGGTCCATGCTCCAAGTCTGAAGGCGCTCTTCAAACCGGGAAGACTGTGTCTCTTAGAAAAATCTGAACTCAGTCACATAGGCAAGATGACCTTCATGTATCCAGAGATACTGAAAGCATTCAATCAGAACTGAACTGAACTTACTCGGAACCTAAAGTGTTACCAGGTCAAAACTGCCACCTTAAGCTTAGAAGACAAAAAGATCAGGACAAGCTTCATCTACAGATGGTAAATCAATCTTAGGAACCCTTGGCATTAGGGGCAAGAGGTATATGATGGTAACTCTCCTCGTAGTGGGCTCTACCATGAATGTCCAGTGCCACTCCACCTTTCTAGGTCCCCCTGAGGACCTAACAATCAGAAGAAACCACATTATCCTTGCTTTAGAGGAAAATTTACAAACTGGTGTATCTACAACGATGCTTAGTTTCTCTATTCCTCCATGTAATAGTAAATATAATGTGTTTTCATACCA